CAAACCTTAGATGGTCTTCTAAACTACGGGGTGTAACACATGCCTTGACATTTAACCCCTAAACCCCTCGTTCTAAGTACAAGAAGTCTTATCTATGACTCTAACCCTCAACATCAAACTCTATAACCCTAACTTAAGGCTCTAGTTTGGTCTACTAGTTTCCGGGGTATTACATTTCAATAAACAATTTCAATAATTGCTCGGAAAACTACGAAAGTTGTTGATTAAAACAATCAGTTTGGATTCACTGAACCCAGCTTAAGAATGGACACAAAGTGATTTTTATATTTATCAATAATGCTCTTTTGAGTTAATTCAAAGCTTAAACAAAACAAATGCAATACAAAAAAAAACCAAACATATATATATATATTTTTTTTAATTTATTTTTTTTGATATTCTTTTTTCATAATTTTTCTTGATAGATCTTCTCAATAAAAGTACATATTTTTACAGCTAAAGGAAGAAGGAGGAGGAGTTTTACAGATAAAGGAAGAATGAGGAGGAAGAGGAGGAGGGGGAAGAGGCAATTGATAAATATACGTGCGGTTGAAAAGGATCTCGATGGGAAGAGGATGAAGTTGAGAAAGAGCACCCTTTTTTGGTCTATTTTAGTAAAATTTTAGATATTTTAAGGTAAAAAATATAGAAGCAAAAGTAGGGGTGGGCATAAATACCGAAAAACCAAAAAATCGAACCGAACTATTTCGGTGTTTCGGTTCGGTGTCGGATCTTTATTTTTGGAACTTTGGTTCTTCGGTTCGGAGTTCGGTGTAAGGGTCCCGAAACTATGGTGCACCGAAGAATCGAAGTTTTATTAAATAAATTTAAAAATATTTAAATTATATTACTTAATAATACTTATATATTTTGACTCAAAATATTTACCTGGCCCATTTCAATTTTTAACTTTACCTGGCCCATTTCAATTTTTAAATTTTAGAGCTTAAACTTAAATAGCAAAAATCTAAATGACAAAATAGTAAATTGTAAACCCTAAAGACCTAAAGTCTAAACTAAAAAAAACTCAATTCAATTCAACTAATTAACAAGTCCTTTGACATCTTTGCCTTTTTCCCCTTCCAGTCGCTTCTAAAAATACAAGGTTTCTCTGGCTCTTCTTCATTGTGCACAAGAGGTGGACCAAATTCCGCGTATGCTTCGTTTTACGCATACATACTATGTCCATATTGTTTTTATATAAATAAATAAAATATCATATGCTTTGACAGATATTATATTTTCAACCCCCACGAAAGTCTAGAAACATAATTTTTTTTTGAATTCTTCTAGTTATAGAATCATCTATGCTACGCCTTCTTAATTATAAATTAAACACATGAAACTCTTAACACTTTATCATATTCCCTCTTTATTTTTATTCACATCGAAAAACCGATTTCAAAACACCGAACTAAATCGAACCGAAGTAGAAAAAACTGAACCGAACCAATCTAGTTTGGTATGAAATATGGTGCACACTTTTCTAAAACCGAATACCGAAGAACCAAACCGAAATTTGATTAAACCGAACCGAAGAACCGAACGCCCACCCCTAGGCAAAAGTGTAAAAGTTAAAAGTTTGGAACTATTGAGAAAACATCTTTTAACCTAGTTAATATTATTTATTTATTTGTCACTTCTACCCGATATTTAAGACTTGAATGACTCCTACCTATTTGACTAACTAGTTTGTCCCTTTTAATAGACCTTTCCATTGGGTTTTTTATGGAGTTTTCCAGAAATTAACCAAATAAAACTATTTATTTGTTATGTGGTAAAAAGGTTTAGGTAAAAAAGATATTTTTATTTAACAACCACTAATATTTGTATTAGAATAGACTGTCTATGGACTTCTTCTAAAACTCTGCTAATAATAAAGGAGTAAATAAATAATACTCCTTTACAAACTATCAAATTTATTTATTCCTAGTGTAAACTAATATTTTGTATTTAGGTAAACACATAGAATAAATTGGTTCACTTCTAATCTATTCAATTTTGAATTTCGATTAGATATGAAAAAAATACTACAATTCAATGTTTTGCTACCTAAACTTTTATTTTATAATTGAGCGTTTGATTTCTCATTTTGTAATCTCTGTTTACTTGAGTTTCACAAACTAAGTAGACTCTATTGGTTCTAAGCTCATGCTATACTTTATCTTGAGCTAAAACTTCGGCGCAATACATCTAACAATTTCTTTAATTTGTTAATTAATTTAATTAAGACATTGTATGCTTTATTTAAACACTTCAACATATGATAAATTTTTTTTGATGACAAAGGAAATCCACAGTTGTTATCCTTTGGGTGAGCACAGGGTAAAACCCCTGCTCCTATGCAATAATTTGTAAATCACATAGGAGAGATAACCCACATTAGGCAAGAGTGGCATTTGGTTAACAATATTTGCTTCCTTAACATAAGAGTTGTTGACACCCAATTTTGGTCCTCCACATTATAAATTAATTATCGAGCTTCTTTAATTTTTCAAACAATTTAAAATAATTAGTTTTTATGAAATTCAAAATATTTTCAAGTTATTTTTAAACAATTTTATAATTTTTAAATAATAAATATATTTTATATAATTATGTATATAATTAATATATTTTATGAATGTTCGAAAATCATCTCAAAAAGATTTAATTAAATATTATATTATGTTAATTTGGTCTAAATTATGGTTATAATTTAAATAATTATTTTATAATTAATGTTGTTATTTTATTTTGTTAAGATTAGAGGTTAGTTAATTGATTGATTAATAACCATTCATCTTATTCGAAGTTTTAAACCAAATTTACCAATCAAGTTCAATTTGGCTATAATCGAACTCAAATGACCATGTTTTAATTTGAAACCTATCCCTTTTTATTTGCAAATCTAACCACATTTTTTTTTTACCCTTCAATGAGACCATTTTTGGGCCTGCAAAGCAGCCCATATCCCTCCAATATACCCGACCCAACCCACTTGTCCTTCTCACAAAAGAAATGCAGCAACGACAAAACTCGCTAGCAACCCGAATCCCCTGAACCCTTTCTCTTGCGTTTTGCGAACTACCACCGGCGACGACGACGACCGGCGGACGGTTAACGGAGACGGCGACGGCGCTCCCTTATTATAAACATTAGTCTCTCTTCATCCATATCTTTTTAGTAACTTTGTTTTTGTTTTAATTTATTGATTAATTGTACTCGAATTCGAGTGCCCTCAGGCTACGGAGTTATCTTTGTCACAGAGCACTTTATCCTAATATGGGACTTCCTGATGCAATCCAGATTTAGTCGTGATACAATGTGAGTAATAGACAATGGGCCAAAAAAGAAAAGAAGTACAAGGGAGCCATTAGATGTCCTATTGGAGAACATGTTGTTAGTACCAGTAGCTATTCGAACATTAGAGCTCGAAGGAGCATTGCTGCAGCTAATTTGTTATTGATGGTTGATTACAACATGTTGTAGTACAAAAGACTAATAGAGTTGTAACATGATTTATCTGAAAATTCACCTGCATAGGCTCACATAAATTCAAAAAGAAAAATTGAATGAAGTTTTGTTTTTCAAAAAAAGCAAACCAAATTGATGTGAGTAATGCCCTGATAATATCTGTTTTCATGTCTTATAAAATTCTCTCCTTCATGCTCTTCCACATTATCTAGTGGGATAATCTGCAGCCTAATTGTAGATTAGGACTACTACATGTTACTCTAGGTTGTGTCCACCTTCAGATCAAAACAATATTCTTTCATCCAAATTAGATGACCTGCCTATTATTCTTGAATTTGACTGAGCCATTTTAAAATCTTTTTGATCTATCAAGTTTGTGTTGAAAATGATTTAGTTCGTTCCTGTTTTCAAACTGTATTCAAACCAAAAGTTGATCAATCCAAACTTGGTAAACTGAGCTACATCATTGATTACTGGAAAGGGGAATAATGAGTAACGAAGATTCCTCTGCTTCTTAAACTGAGTTACTATCTATATAAAAAAACTGGTAGACTGTATTCAAGAAGAATTGGAATGTAAAAGTTTATGGTTAAGCAATATCTTATCCAAAAAAAAGGTTCATTGTGTGCAATGTATTTAATTCTTGGAAGCTACTGTATATTAATTGCTATAAATGGATGGCACATTACATCAATCATTTAACTGTATAGAATTTACGAACTCTTCTTTTAATGGTTTTCTATTGATATATTAATTAGAAGAACAAAAGCTACATTGATCATTATGCGTTTTGTCAAGCTTGCCGGATTATAGCTTGGATGTCTTCCATTGTGTAGCTGATGGACAATTAGTTTTCCTTGAGCACCGGAAAGCTTCTACTATTAAAATACAGTTTGTGCATTCATGTGGGAACTTTTGACTTTAATTATATGTAATATTTCAAAGGAGGACAATGGATATTAGTGTTTTTGTGCTTCAAATCTCTTTTCTTCTTCTTTTTTTTTTCTTTTGGCTTATGATATTTGAAGTTAAATGATTTTTTTTATTTGTATTTATTTCAGTTGATTGTCCTAGGCTTGAAGATGGAAAGCAGTATAAAGGATGAACTCTACTCTGACATTTTTGATATGTCAAATCTTCAATCAAGTCTTAGGTCGACTACCAATTCCGGAAACAATGATTCACATGGTATGAACTTTAGCTGATTGCTTCAAGCTGATAATGAAAATTAGAAATGCATTTTGTTATTAAGATTTGAATATCAAATTCCTTACCATAAATAGAAGGTATGATGTGGTGCTCTAATTCCTAGATTGCATTTTTTTTTTGTTGGAATAACCATCGAAGTGGAAGACTGAAGGTCTTCTTTGACATTTTACGAAGTTCTATTCTAAAAGGTTTTCTTCACTGGCTACTCTCAGCATATCTGGATGAAAAAAAACTTGAGCTTTTGTTGACTAACCATTGTTTTTCCCCTCTCCTTTGCCTTCCTTTGTTTGCTAAAGATTATTCAAACTTAAAGAACTATATTATCTCTCCTATCCTTCCCTATTTTCTTGTTTCAAACATTATTAAACCTCTGATCGTGATTGTGAAAAAATATGTTGGTTAAATGCTTGCTAAGTGGAGATGTTCTCTTATCTATGTATAGTTTTCTTGGTTAGGATCTCTCCTGTACATAGTTCTGTTAATAGTGCTGACTGCAATTAACATCTAATGCCAGACAACGAGTGGTGCGATGTGTGGAGTGATGATGGAGATTTGTGTCATGATTCTACTGATACATTGGATAAAACATCTGAAATGGACAGGGAATGGCAGAGGTGGCATGACCAATTCCACACTGTATCCTTACAAGTTTAATCTGATTGATAGCTTCCAGAAAACAAAACTAGCTGTGTCCCTTTTGGTTGCAAATTCAATTTGTATTTTGGAATTCCTGATGAATTATTAGGTCGGATACCGTGATGGTCTTATGGCAGGGAAAGAAGCTTCAGTTCAAGAGGGGTTTAATGTTGGTTTTACTGACTCTGTATATGTTGGTTACAACTGGGGTCTTGTCAGAGGTATCACGAGGTAAGAATATGCATTTCATACATGGAATTTGTAGAGATTTGAGTTTGTGTACCAACTAGAAATTTTCTTCATGCCATTTTGGATTTAAATTTGATGTTCTCTCCTTTTTTCCCCTCTTTGAAGCGCTTTGGCCTCTCTTCCCGGTGGCTTAAAAGAAAGAATGGTTAATACAAAGGAAATCCAGAATAAGTTCCAGCACTTACATGAGTCCGTGCAATCTCATTCAACCGTGGAAATGCTTAAGGTGTTCCATGATAATCTGACAAAGAAATCGGAAGAGAGTGCTAAAAATGACAACTTTAACTAAAAGTAAAAAAGCTCCCAGGCACGATTCCCAATGTTCCTTCTCTCTCCTACTTTCTAGGAGGGAGAATCTCACTTTTCCGGTAGCTTTCACCGGAATCAGACTTTCTTTCAAGCCACCAATAATCACCCACTGTGATTATTGAGAAACACCTTAGTATCTTTTAGATAAAGGATGGAGGAAACCAGAATCTACTTCAATGCAGGGTTCAAATCCTTTGATATTACTAGATGGGAGACTGATAAGGCTGAGTGGTACGAATGGGTGGAAAGGAGTAGGAAGATGATGCGCATATCTTCAATGAATAGGAAGGTGATGGAGTGGATATGTGTCTGCCTCAAAGAAGCATCAAAGGAAAAAAAGAAGGAAACTAGGAGATGGAAGCTAGCAGAAAGGGAAGCAGAACATTTCTGTACAAAAAAGCATAATGAACATGGGAGATTCATAAGCATTATAACATTAAATAGAGAGGGGAGATCAGGTCTAATCATTCCAGAAATAGCAGATAATGTTGGGTGGTTGGACATTGCTTCAAAGATCACTAGGTTCATTAAATACCAGAGGAAGAAAGAGATGACACCCAACATAAGGATGACGGATGCTGATTATCCCTATGCAAGTGTTTTACAAGAAAGTAAATGGCAAACCAGAAGCCTACGCACAGCCGAGATCAATAGCAAGAAAGGAATCGTAGAAGTACTAGACAAAATGGATGTACAGGAGGATGGCCTATTAGGGAGATGTCTAGTTGGGTACTGTAGAGAGGAGTCAAAGGAAGGGCCAACTTTAGCGGAAATTCGAAGATGGTCCACAACAACATGGAAGAAAGTCTTCGGATTAAACATCTATGAGTTGTATGATGAGATGTTCCTTTTTGAGTTCCCAAATAGATACATGGCAGAGCAGACCATTCATGGTCAATGGAGATGGAAAAACTACAGATTTCATCTCGAATGGTGGAAGCCAACACTTGGGTGTATTCCAAGAGCAGCAACTGTAGAGAAAATCTGGGTTAGAGCAGTGGGAATTCCCCTGCACCTCTGGTCCAAAAAGGTTTTTAAGGAAATAGGTGAAATTTGTAGGGGATGGGTTGCTACGGAGGAGGAAACTGAGCTTAAGAATCATATGAAATGGGCCAGAATCTTGGTTTCAAATGATGGTAGCAGCATTCCAAGGGAGGTGGCGATATCCCGAAATGGTGTCAAATACCACTTTCCGATCTGGGCAGAATGTAAACCACAGTATGAGATCATGCCGGAAAAACCAAATGGAGGAGATGAAACACATTACCCAGAGAAAGGCTTAACCCAGTGGGTAAGGAAGGGAGGAAAGTCTCTGTGAAGAAGTACAAAAATCCCTTCAAATCAGGGATTCTGTCAGAGGACAGCATGTGGGAACAACTGGAAAAAGTGTATCACCAAGAGCACATGTCTCATTTAAATGAGACCTCTGAAGTGGGCTGTTCACATAAGCCCATTTTGGAAAAACCACAAAATCTATTTAAAGGCCCAGACTTAGCTGCAAAGGTTATTTTCAACAATCTACAAGAGGAGAAACAAAGTCCCATAGAAGCCCACAATGCCTTTAGTTTGGCTGAAGACATAGCATCACATATTTCTCTGCATGTATCCTCTCCAGAAACAGAACAAAGGAAGTCTTATGCGAAGATGGTAATGACGACGACTGAGTTTGTGAATGGGGATGGTTCACCGACACCAAACAAGGAGGCAAATTGGCAAAAGGTAAGAGACTGCGACAGTAGAAGTGTAGAAAGTGACAATTACGGGATAATTCTCCCAAGTGACAACACAAATATTGTCAACTGGGAAGTAGAGGAAGTTGAACCAATAATGATGCAACAACAACACATTCTGCAAGGGAGAGAAAAAGAAACATCGGTCTGGGTGCAACAGAACTTGATAAAACTGGGGAAAATATTAGGGGTTGACTTTCAAGGACTCGAGGAGGAGGCCACAAAACTCTTAATGCAGATAGATGGCTGCAGGCAAGCAAGAAGAATGGAACAGGATATTGAAGTAAAAAAAATAAGGATCAAGGGTGCACAAGAATTGAAAAGTTTAGTATCCTTTGATGTTAAATATAAAAACACGGGGGACAGGAACAAGGGGAGAAATGCTAGCTCTAGTTCTCGATGAAGTTCAAGTTAGTGTCTTGGAATGTTAGGGGATGGAATAGTAGAGATAAAAGGAGGCTAGTAAATAGTTTGGTTTGGGGTTGGAAGGCCGACATTATTTGTCTTCAAGAGACAAAATTAGAAGGGAATGTCTCAGAAATGGCAAAACAAATTTGGGGCGGGAGATGGGTTAGACAAGCATATCTGGAAGCAAGTGGAACGATGGGGGGTATTTTATTTATGTGGGATGAGAGGGTCTGGAAGGGGAAAGTCTTGGAGATAGGAATGTACTCTATAACTTGTAAGTTTGAATCCCAACTTCAGTCTTTTAAGTGCCACATCACGGGAGTATATGCTCCCAACTGTTACAAAGAAAGAAGAATGGTTTGGGATGAATTGGGTTCTGTGAGGGGACTGATAGAAGGGCCTTGGGCCGTTTGTGGGGACTTTAATGTCACTAGATACATCTCCGAGAAAAAGAATTGTTCAATCAGAACTAGAGGCATGAGGGAATTTTCAGACTTTATCGAAGATATGAATTTAGTTGACTTGCAACTAGAGAATGCTAATTATACTTGGTTCAAAGGAGACCAACAGAAAACAGCTTCAAGGATTGATAGAATCCTAATTTCAGATGAATGGGATGACAATTTCAAAAATCTGAAACAACTTCCACTTAAAAGTTTGAGCTCTGACCACATCCCTATAGCACTACTTGGAGGGTCTTGGAAAAAGAACAAGAATTATTTTAAATTTGAAAATTGGTGGCTGGAGACAGAAGGTTTTATTGATAGAGTCAAAAACTGGTGGTCCTCTTTCAACTTCTTAGGCAGGCCTGACTATGTCTTGGCCTGCAAGCTCAAAGCTCTGAAGCACAAACTCAAAGAATGGAGGAATGAGGAGACTGGGAACTTGGGAGTACAAAGGAAGAAATTTCTCGAACAAATGGCAGACTTGGATACTGAGAGGGAAGATAAAGTATTCACTGATGAAGAGATAGCTAAAAAGTCTGAATTACTTCTAAAATATGAGGAGTTGTTGAAGAAGGAGGAGATTTCATGGAGACAAAAATCAAGAGTTCTTTGGTTAAAGGAAGGTGATAAGAATACCAAATTCTTTCACAAAATGGCAAATGCTCATAAAAGATACAACAATATAGACCAGCTAGTGATACATGGAGAAACTACCAAAGAACCAAGTAGAATCAAAGGGGAAATTGTGGGATATTACAAAAGGTTGTACTCAGAAACTATCCAGTGGAGACCTACCTTCCAAAATACTCAGTTTCCAGTCCTAACAGAGGAAGATAGGGGGGCTCTCCAAGGCCATTTTGATGAGAGTGAAATTTTGAGGTGCCTCAAGATGTGTGCAACTGATAAAGCGCCAGGGCCAGATGGTTTTACTATGGGCTTCTTTATCAAGTGTTGGGAGGTGGTGAAGCAGGACATCATGGACACTTTTCAAAACTTTTATGATCAAGGAGTGTTTGAGAAGAGTTTTAATGCAACATTCATAGAACTTATTCCTAAAAAGAAGGGTGCCAAGGAGTTGAGGGACTTCAGATCGATAAGTCTAATTGGCAGTATTTACAAGTTGCTCTCTAAAGTATTGACTGAGAGACTGAAAGGGGTGATTGGAAAGTTGGTAGATTCTCAACAAATGGCATTCATCAAAGGGAGAAAAATTATGGATGCAGTCTTGATTGCCAATGAAGTTGTTGATTCCAGAGTTAAGAAGAAGAAGCCAGGCATTCTCTGTAAGTTGGACATAGAGAAAGCTTATGACCACGTTAATTGGAGATACCTTATGAAGGTATTAGAAATGATGGGTTTTGGGCAAAAGTGGTTGAAGTGGATGGAGCAATGTATTTCAACAGTCTGTTTTTCAGTTCTAGTTAATGGTTCTCCAACAGGATTCTTCCAATCATATAGAGGACTCAGGCAAGGTGACCCTCTGTCACCTTTTCTATTCCTAATTGCTATGGAAGGACTGAATAACATGATCAAGACAGCCAAATTACGAGGTTGGATAAAGGGTTTTGAAGTGGCTAGAGAAGGGATTGGCAGTCTGGAAGTGACACATCTACAATATGCAGATGACACACTTATTTTTTGTGATGCTGAGGAAGATCAACTAAAGCACTTAAGACTGATCTTGGTTCTGTTTGAAGGGGTCACTGGTCTACATATCAACTGGAGAAAGAGTTTAATGTACCCTATTAATGTAGTCAACAACATGAGCTGGTTAGCAACAATCCTTGGAGGTGAAGTTGGCACTCTGCCAGCTACATACTTGGGATTACCTTTAGGAGCCAAATCTATGTCCATAGATATATGGAACAATGTGATCGAGAAGTGTGAAAAAAAACTAGCCAGGTGGAAAACACAATACTTGTCTATGGGTGGAAGATTGACACTAATCAATTTAGCACTTGATGCTCTTCCAACTTATGTGATGTCCCTTTTTCCTATCCCACCAGGGGTCACCAAGAGGCTGGACAGTATTAGAAGGAAATTTTTGTGGCAGGGCAATAAGGAAAAGAAAGGATTTCACTTGGTAAAGTGGAAATCAGTGATAACTGGGAAGAAAAATGGTGGTCTGGGGATTAAGAACCTAAACTTGCAAAGTAAAGCTCTTCAAATGAAATGGTTATGGAAGTATGCAAATGGTAACCAACTGTTGTGGGAAAGGGTGATTGAGGCTAAATATATACCAGAAGACAAATGGATGACCAAAGAGGTGACTACTCCTTATGGAGTCAGCCTTTGGAGGTCCATTAGGAATCTATGGGATGAAGTGAAGAACAACTCAAAGGTGAAAGTTTTTGATGGGAGAAAGACCATGTTTTGGAAGGATAATTGGCATGAGA